AAGTAGCAATTTGTCAATTAAACTCTCTTTTCTACAGTCATGTGGTAACAAATTGTGTTGCTGAACAGGGATCTCTTTATTGCCTTGAGAAGACAATGGACTTTAAGCGTGACAGAATCGTTTTACATCCAAGGTTTTGATATGAACATTAGCAGTTCTTAGAATCCGGATCTGGGGTGAAATGCTTTTGCAACACACGCCATCTAGTGGTGAGTTTATGCAAAGCTACTATGTTGCGTTTGTTAATCCTTCGGTAGGTTTTCTTCTCGGGTTGCATCAACTAAGGAATTTTATTCCCTTCCTCCTAGACATCTAAATCTAAAATTAGAAATATTACAGTAAAATAACAAAGGAAAATATTCATCAGCTCGAAAAAATAAGATAGCACACCTTTCCCTAAAGTGTATTTAATGTGAATACATCCTACTTTATAGTCCTCTGTAAGCAGCTGACACGAGTCTGTTTTGCTGATGTAATTTCTAAGGAATCGTACAGTACCTCTGTGGATAAATTATTTTGTTTTTCTTTCTTTTAAATTAAGAATGCTATTTAGACAGATTGTATTTAATTATGAACAGTCACCTGCAGTCACAGGTAAAAACTGATATGTAATTTGTCTTTTTCCCTTCTCAGTAATAAATAATTATAATTGAAATTATTTCAATGGCAGAGTACACTATTATTAGTTTGCATTAATGATCATTTCATTGTGAATAATACATTATTATTGCTGAATTACCTGCCTGACAACCCTGATGTTAACAGATAAGTATATTTTTATTAGAACTATTATTAGTTGTTTCCTCTTTGAAGTACTCCTAACTACCACTGTGACTGCTTCCAGTATTTTTAAACATAGAATAAACAATATCCATGGTTCAATAAACATTTTCCTTTCATCAGTGTTCCATAAGCAAATCTTGCTAAAGCAGGAGTCACTTATGGAACACAAACAGTCAATATGACTCCATTGATTTCTCAAGTGTATCTTCACAATGTATTGACCAATAAACATTAAAAGGCTTTCAGCGACATATTCGCCTCATTCGTCAGACCTGATATCATTTGTTGCCATTGCTGCTATTGAATACATTAGCTTTGATTTCATGGCCTAAAGGTCAGGTCCCCAGTTTTGCATTAAACCCAGCGAGCGCTAATTCGGAGGGCTGCCCCTCCACTTATGCAACACTCTCAGTAACCACTGCAGTATTCTTGAACTATTGTCAGAGCTTATTTATGAGAGACAGAGATTCCTGATCATCTTTCCACCAGTTCCTCAGCTGCTCATGTAACAGAGTGAGCAGTCTTCACTGGATAAAAGTAACTATAAATGCTGGTGCCACCCCTTGGTTCTCAAAAGCTGAAAATGTATTCAGCCTTATCAGTACTATTTTATTCATGGTTTTAACAACACACCCCATTTCAATATCTGGTGCCACTACAGATATTGTTAATGAAAGTTGTGTTTTCACTGGTGTTTTCACACGGGTTGGCGGCACAACTCAAGTCAATTCAAAGATCCCAAAATATTCTCCTCAACTCAGTTTCACCATTTGATCACCACACTACCGAGGTGTGGCTGGACACAGTGAAAACTGGTCCTGTCGAATTACCCGAATCTGGCATATTGGAGTCTAGCAATCACCTGTAGATAAGCAATTGTTCCATGTAAATAGGTGGGGTCTTTATGCACGCAGAGTAACTTGTTGGCATATGTGGAATTACATCTATACAGAATACAAACATAAATAAACAGAAACTTTAAATACTTCCAGATTTAGACGGTATCTTACAGTACATAGAATGGATCGTACATACTGTACACTTTATTGTGCTTGTTAAAGAATGTGTCAGCTTTTTCCCTGTAAGGAAACAGATGTTAATTTCATCATAGTCTGGACTGACACACAATAATAAAAACTAAACAAAACTAATCTCACTAGGAATGACAATCACCCAAGATGAAAGTGTTATGGAGCCAAAATCGTAGCTTAACCCACTTGGCTGAGGGCTGGCGTCCCGGCCAGAGGACAAGGAGACCAGGACCCCCCTGCAGGGTGACCAAGGGGCAGCTGCAGAGGTGGAGGTGGAGATGGGGTGGAGGTGGGATGCAAGAGACATGCAAGAGAGAGAGAGAGAGGGATCTTGTAAGTATTTATTTATTGTTTTAGGAGATTGGATGTCCTGCATGATTGCTAATTACTGACAGCTGAGTCTGATTGAACTTGGTTGTTGTCATCCCTCCCAAACTTTTGTTATAAACTCCATTTATAACAAGTTTGTGTACTTGCTTTAATGATCATCTGGCATCTGAATAACAGAAATTGATATTAGCATATATAGCATCTTCTCATATTGGTATACTAGTTAAACAAATAAATATGTTTATCCATTCTACAATCTGTCGGTGTGGTAAGCATTTTTTGTTCCAGTACTCAACAAATTAACCTTTTTATTCCAAAGACCTGCAGAAGCAATTTCCATATGGAGTGGTGTCCCCTCAAACATTTTGTAATTGCTCTGGAAGTTTATAAAGTAGAAGCCTGGTTTATGGTTTAAATTCGAGCTAATTATCTCAGTCCTCATGTCCCTAAGAAAACAGATGGAAAGTGTAAAGAAACTTTTTAACAACTGTTTCCATTTCATAATGACTATCAACAGAAGAGAAAACATTAATCTTGTCACGAGTCAAGGACAATTTCATTCAACACATTTGCAAAAAACTCACAGAGAGTTTAACAACAGCCTATTTCCACAGATGGCATCTTCTGTACTCTCATCAGAGAAATAAAGTTGCTATTATAGCTGTAATGGTTACAATTAGTATTCAAAAATAATTTTAAAAGTGAATATATTCTAATTCTGTGCAGAGAACTGAAGAATGTCTATAGCATGTTGCTGGGGTCCTAGCCTTAGGGCTTCTTGGGTTTTCAAGTCTCAGAGAAGCAATTAAAAAACAAAGATAGTTAACATTTGCTTGCCTTTTAATATTGGAACTTTCTCTTCCATTTCTGACGGGTCAGACTTGAGAGGCAGTAATATAATCCTCCATTATTGGAACATCCATTAATCGAACTTTTCTCCTGCTGACCTCCGACCCCTCTGATCCTTGAACATCGTATTACCAGCAGAATGAGGGAGCCCCCTGGGTTTCTGCCCAAGCTGCTGACACCCCCTTTTGTAAGAGAATAATTAAGCCATTCGAAAATTCAGCTAAGACCGAAAAGAGGATCAAGGGACAATTTGGTATAATCAAAGACTGCTATAAATAATCTGGTGCAGATTTAAGGCAGCCTGCAGAACCAGCAACATGCCTGACAGAGATGTATCAGTACTGAGGTTCTGGTCTTTATGATATTAAAAGGAAATGTGTTCACATCTCCATTGTCTGAAAACATTCCCTTTTAATACATATTTGGCAGATAAAAATACTGAGAGAACACTAATAAACATCGATGTGCCAACACGTTAAGATGACATGTTTGTGAGCACCTCCCTCGTTTTTTTCAGGTTAACAAAAAAAAAGTGATTACAACAATATAAACTGTAAAAACAAAATGGAAAACGTTGAGCTTGAAGGAAAAAAGGACAAGCAAAATGTTAGGTATACATACTTACAAAGGCAAAATTGAAATCAAGGGATGTTATGTTAAAATTACATTTTACACTGAAACAATCCATGTGGAATAAATTATTGCTGCTCTGGATTCAGTCTGGAGGAAAGAAAAATGACACATTTATGGAAAGATCCCACAATGATAGGTTGAAGGAACTGAAAGTGGGAATCTTTTTTTGTGTCCAACAGAGAAGATCATGAGGGGAGCTGATACAGGTGGTTTAAATCCTCAAAAGACTGACAAGTCAATCCAGTGAATTTCTTCACAATAAACATAAAACACAAACCAGAGGAAACGAATGCCAAGTGGGTTGTGAGAGTCTTCATCGAGCCCTCTTTCTGATACCCTGGCTTCTCTCAGGATTCAGGTAAATCAGATACTTGGATCAATTAGCTGCTAACTACCAAACGGGCTGAATGGGTTCCTCTTGTTTGGAAGTCAACTTATGTTTTAAAAGACAACATAACAATCTCTTGAGAGATTCCAATGCACTAGTAAACCAACGATTAATAAGCAATATCATACTGACCCTCTGTAGGTTATCTCCTGCCTCAAGTCTGCTGACCTCTTAGGAATATAGTAGAAATAAATAGGCTGTATATTTAAGTAGTACTCAGATATACACTAATGATAGTAAAGAAAAATACTTTCAATTAAATCAGGAAATTAGATAGAAAAATGTCCTAATGTGAGCTTCAAAATATGACTTCCAACTGTATTAGGTATTTGAGACCTAAATCTCATTGCTGTTTCCGTTTTAGACTGCAGATCTTAAGAAAGCCAGTGAAATGAAATATCTGATTGTATAAGGATATAGCCTTTAGGCTGTTGTTGCGTATCTCAGTTATTATGAGCAATCATCTCGCATGCAGTAATCCCCACTGAATAAATTTAATTCTTATTGATTTCTTCATGGGAAAATAGGAGCCTCTCTTTACTTCTGCAGTCTGTCATGGCTCCCTTTGGGAAGTTTCACAGGATAACAGTCCTGGTCAGGTGTGGCCTAGTCAGGTGACAGTTTCCAGGCTCAGAGCTACATCAAGTGCTTCCTGTCACATAATGTTACTGAAGCTGGGCTTTGATCAATAAAACCATGCCAAATCAACTTCTAAACTTGGGAAATACCTCTTAAACACACAGCATTCACACCAAAACCTTTTTTATGCAGTTCCACTGCCTCCACTTAAAGTACCAGATATGGTTTTACATTAGCAGGTTAGGGTTGATTAGTGGTAGACTTTTGTTATGTTCTTTTGAAGTAGACCTTTAATATGTAAGTGGCATATTCTCTTTCCTAACTGCTGCATTTTATCCTCTCATAATTCTGCAAATTTAAGAAAATCCTTTTCTCATTTGATTAATATTAATTTATTGCTTTTTAAATTTCTTTTTCAGTGATGCAACACTGTAGTACAACAGTACAAAAAAGTATTAAAAAAACATCACATAATGTGGCACTACAAAAACAGTCCTCTGGTTTGTATTTTGTTCAACTTATATTTCTGTATGTTTTTTATACAGTCTGGCATTTTCCTGAAGCAATCTGAGTTAAATGCCATGTTAAAGCATACTCTTTCAGTGCTTCACCCAGTATTAGAACCCACACCTTTACAAAAACGTGTCCAGGGACCTGACTACTACCCCACACACCTGTCGTTTGTCGTTTAAGGGGGATATTTGTAGAATACCGCAACATGTTACATATGAACCACCAGGTGTATATGAGAGCTGACCATGTTTTCTAGAAAATCAGTATGTTATTCAGACAAAATAAATGTTTGTACAGCATTTGAATTCAGTATACAGTATACTGTAGAAAACCAGTAAGAGCTAGTTCTAATGAAATAACAGGCAGAGCACCAATAAAATTGTACATCGAGTAGGTTTTTGTAATAAGCTTACATTATCCAATTTTATATTTATTTTTAAAAAATTTACATCCTATGTTCTGCAGAATATTTTGTGCCTTTATTTCAGCAAATATAAAACAAGGATAATGAAAGGAGAACATTCAGAAAGGTTTTGTTGTTGTTCAGTTTCCAGTAGTTTAAATTCTCAAGAATCTCATCAAGTTATTTCTTGACCCAAGAATAAACATTAAAAATGTCCATTTTACAATTTGATTTATCCAAAGCTGACAAACATAATTCATAATGCATTTTTACTATATTGTTTTGTTTACACAAACACAGTCATTGCCAAATATGTTCCAGGTCAAGAAGAAAATACACTTAAATTTCTGGTATCTTCAATTTTCTGTACTCAAACTCCAGTTTAGCTACTATCTTGTTACTATTACTTAACTGTAATAGAAGAAATACTTAAACTAAACAAAACTACTGTTTGCACCACATCTCTAGTTTTGAGTCTTCAGATTGATACATCACTGATGACTCATAACAGTAATTAATGTAGAAAAACAAAGCCTGAAAGATCGTATATACTGTAAAAGGCATACTGTATGCTTTCAAATGTATTATGCACGTTGTGATTCAAGGCTTATTGCAGAATGGCGAAAGTTTAATAGTTCAACTTCAACATATTAGAAAAGCGTTTTCTTTCTGTACTTCGAATAAATCTTATTTTTAGTACAGATGTCCACTAGGCATCCCCTCGTTGTCTTCTTCATCATCGATATCATCATCATCGTCAGAGATGTCAAACACTCCAGTTATGTAAGGCTGTATCTGATGCGCCAGTGGAGAATCTGCAGAACAAGAAGTTATGGAATATTAACCACTGAAAATGCTCTGACAAAAAAAACGGTCAAAGTAAAGAGCATATATTTGTGGAAATCAATTAATTTTTATCACATATTTTAAGATAAGCAGGTTTTTTGACCTGTCATAATATTAACACTCAGATTTTTAGAGCCTTGTACAATCTTTAACATTAGTGTAAGGTTAGAATTCAAACCAACATCACATATTTTTCCTTGCTACTTAACTCATAAGTTCACACTAACAAACGGGAAAGGTGAGCCTTTTTGTTTCAAGGACCACAAACACCTACTGCAGTTAAAGCGTGTGCTTTGTTCTCGGCCAGTAGATATCAATAGATTTACAAGAAAACCTAGCTAGACAAATTCCAGGAAAAAAAGCAAAACTCCTTCAGAGAATCCAATCTGCACAGTTTTCTGCAAGGTTTGGATATATAACCTGACTGGATAAGAGATAGGAGGAATCAGACAGAGACAGTCATGATGCTGGTCTGCTACATAATACAAAAATCCACATGGTTAATCTGACATCAGGTTCTATCAGGTCAGACAGTCTGTCATCACTAATGCATTTGTTCTTGTATAAAAAGCACAAGACACATTAAGGTTATCTTTACTCTGAAATTTCTCGGAATCGCAAGTTCACCTATGGTTGCACTGAGATGTACAGTCCTGATAATAGGATCAATAAGCATTTGTATTGATATTGACATTTTTGGCCTAAAACTGAAACCAAACTTACTAGCTCATAATCTCACTGTGCAAGTCTAGCTCAGATCCTTTTTAACATAAGTTGTGTTATGACATTTTAAGTTCCTCGCTGATCCTTGAACAATTGCTCAGATGTATTTACATTCTCAAATGTAGCTTTTATTTAAGGGCGGGCTTTTAAACTTTGATCTTGTATGGTATTTTATCTTAGAAATCTGACCCTCCATTGAAGTATAGAACTTTTTCAGCTAAACAGAATGCATTTCTAGAACAAACCTTCTGGCAACTACTGCTGCGACTTCGAAAAAAATTTTTTGAATTATCACTTGAATTTTGTTTTTAAGATAGATTGCCTGATGAGTTCACGAGGCATTATTGTTTGAGAAAGGTTTATACCACACAGTAATAAAATGCACAAAATTCCACAGAGACTCTACAAGAGCAGCAATAATTGTAGCAGTGGTGAGGACCGGACCAGAATGGGATAGACCCAGCTAACACAAAACATTATAACCCCATTTCTAAAATTCTAGTTTTACATTTTTAATAGCGGAACCCCAGTTTGGTTGTGTAAGACATTCAGACGTAATGTTGCAACTGTGTTAGATCCACGTTTTGGTTATGGCAACAGCTTGAAAATGTTGCAGCAACATCCCTGTTCCCTAGTCAGGACTCAGTTGTTCCCATGGGTATTGCGGATACTGTGCTGTAAACCACTGGGGCATTAATTTGCCATTTTAGTTCAGGGGGAAGAGCGCCACCTACTGGTTTACCAACAGCACTTAGAGCTAATTTTATTTGGTGGTCCTCCAACCCAGTCTTGACCTGGCCCAGCCCTGCTGTTTTATTGTCCTGTGGGTGTCATCAGAATAACATATCAGTGAGGACTGGATAAAATAGCACGTGCTGACTGATCGCTTCATTTAGCTATTTTGTTTGTGCTTTTTCTGAAAACAAAAGGCAGAAGCAAAGGTTTTCTGCATTAATCAAAACAAGCTTCTTCCAGGAATCAGCCGTACCTCTCCCAACAACCTTCAGCTCTGCTGAGGCAGATGCTTCCCCAAACTCGTTTTTGGCAAAGCAGGTGTACACGCCTCCATCCTCCTTTTTGATATTCTGGATCTGGAGCCAGCCTGTGAGTTCAAAGCGCTGTGGTCCACCTCGGGCCTAATAATTACAAAGAACCAGAGACCATAAAACTCTTTAACCTTCTTTATGAAAGCAGAAGCCTCCGGGATCTCCCATTCTCGTACACTCACTGTATTATTACTGTTTTTCTCCACAAGACAAATTTAAGGTTGAAGTTTTTAAACGTCTCATTCATTAACTCAGCATACCTTTCTTTAGCAGTACTGAACACACAAGCTATTGTTCACACCCCCTACATTGGCTTCCACTTATTTAACTGACTTTCTTCCACTGTAAGATCCTACTGGTTATTGCATGCTGATGTCTTTCGGACGAGAGGCAATTTTTTGCTGTGAATTTACAAAATGAAAAACAGAAAAATGCTTCACATGAGCCAAACTGTCCTTCTTGACATAAATTGCCAATGAGAAACGTGTTTCATTGCATTGCTCTCTGCCGCGAAACACAATGTTTGATACCTAAAAGTTCTATGATCATGTAGAAAACATTTTTTTGCGATGCTGATTACTTTGCATTGCAAACTTTGAGTTGATTAGAATGCAAAGGTTCTATATAAAAAAAACTTTGTTACTTTAAATACCTATTGTTCCATATGGGGATGTAATCACCTAAATCTTTTATAATTACAGGGCCTAAAGGTTTCACGTTAATTTCCCCTTGTCTTATTTCAACACTAGTATACATACCTGCACAGCAATGTGGGAGTCGTCTGCTGGTAAGACGATACTCTTCCCTTCTTTCCTCCATTCAATGAGGGCAGTTGGGTAAGAGGACACTTCACAGCCAAATATGACATCACTTCCTTCCATATTGATGATATCACGAGGTGAGGTTGTGATAAAGGGTTCTACAAGACATCATCCGCAATGATTATGATGAAATCTACTGAGTGCGGTTTAAATGAAAATGATTCATTTATTTGGTTAAGGTTTTCATCCAAAGCAGCTTTCATTTGTATCCATTTTACAGGTGAGCGACTGAGCTGCAGCAATTTGAGGAAAGAACCTCACTCAAGGGTATAACATCATTGCCCCTTAACCTGTGATTAGTCCAAACTGCATAAATGAGTACAATGATTGGATTGGATTGGTCAAATTGGATAAACACGTCAGGAAGTAAATTCATAAGAATAACTACTACTCAACGCCACTGCCTAGCACATTGGTGTGGTGACAGCGTGACAAATATTTGATGAATGTGATACAGATAAATACAATATCTAGACCGCCTCTGAATAACTTTCCAAAACAGAGTCCTTAATTAATACGTAATAACGAACTTATGCAAATGAAATAACATACTCACTAATGGAATTTGTACCTGTGGTCATCACAACAATATTGTTGCCTTAACTAATTGGTTTCATGTCATTGTGTTTTAACAAGTAATCAAATTTACATGTACTGTATCTTCTACTGGTGATAAGCAGTTTGCTCATTTGCACTCTCATAGAGTGGTAATTAAGTTCCTGCTGTGAAGGAAACTTGGCTATGTCTCAGAATCAAAGCAGCCTTTTGTCTCACCTGCTAAAAATGTAAATTCTCTAAATGGCAACACAACAAAGAAATATGTTGTTAAACAAAACGTTTTGCTAGAAACACAGGTATTTTGATTAATGGAAAACAGGAGTCAGGGTGTTTGATTAGAAATGATCTTGTTTAGTCTTCACAGCTGTTGTAATTGTTTAATGATTTCAATTAAAAAAGTAAAGTGCTATGCTTTTCTTTTCTTTGCTGATCTGAACAACTGAGGAAGCTACAATGCTTTAAAAGTGGTTATTGATGTTTTATATTGGAGGAATTGCGCATTGGGATGGCTGCTTCTCCTCAAAAACATGTGCTATAAGGTTTTGCACTGTGCTACTGCTTTTGTGTTTTCTTTAACTCAAATCAGTGCTGAACTACCTTGTCATTAGCCGCCACAAGGAATGTAAAACATTATTATTATTATAACAGAGAATGTAAAATAAATAACACCAAACTGATAACAGTTTCAAAATATCAGGATTTATAAATAGCTTTTTTAGTATTGTTTTCTATTTGAAATGAAGTTAATTTTCCCCTTTGACTTTTTAGGTCTAAAGCTTCAGGTGTCTACCATTGTTGTTTCTCTTAGTTACTTAAGATGGAAAATCAAACTTGATGACAAAGGAACAAAAAACAACACGCAGAGTGAAATCAAAGTCAGTTGATTGTATTGGAAACTGCTGCTTGACACAGTTTCATGACACTCATTAATGCAGAGGGACCTCTAACCTCGGTCCTGCAGAGCAGTTTTCATAGTTTACCACACATTCACCAACTTCTAAAGACTCTGAAGAACTTAACTGCAATCAGTTGGGCACACAATTTGTGAAATGAAGGAATTTAGAGATCATCTGGGACTAAAGTCTGCAGCTAAGGGGTTAGAGTTCTCCTAAAGGAACAGATTTTCTTTAGTTCTTTTTTAAAATATGTTCTTATCTCATATTCTACAAACAAACCACAACATTGGTAAAAGCTCATTGAGCCTCCGATGTGGTGCCCAATGTAAAATTTTGAAAGAATCAGCAAGTACTGAAAATATATAGTGGGAGTAAATACACAATGACTGAAGTGTTGGATGTACAGTATGTATATAATACTCCACTCACCTGCACGACAAGGCCCACTGTGAACAACTGTGAGGACCTGTGTTTCCCTTGAACGGTACTGGGCTCCCCTGAACTGGCAGATGTCTCCATAGGTCTTCCTGTCGGAGCCGCAGATGACCTCCTGGCTGGAGCAGACACAGCGGGGCTCAGGGATCTCTCCGGATTTCATGTCCTCCTCCGGGATCCGGCACGCCAGGCCCTCCCCGCACCTCCCGTAGAAGTGGCTGGAGGGGCTGAGGTCACAGAGCTGCCCCTGGCCGTTCCCACACTCCCAGCAGCAGCCACAGCGGTCTCGCACCCGGCCTGCTGGGCATCGCGGGGGCAGGAGGCAGAGCTCAGGGCGGCACGCCGCGCACCCCTCGGCTGCGGCCAGCGCCCGCTGCCAGTCCAGGTGTCCCAGGCTGTGTATAGGAAGGCTTCGGGCACAATCTGCAGCCAGCAGCGCCAGCAAAACTATCCTGCAAGCCATGGCCTCGTCGAAATTTCAGTCAAAGGAACTTAGTTACCTTTCCTGCCGTTCCAGCAAGTGTGATGTTTCCAGTCAGTGTAGTGCGTGTGTATGTTTCACACTTCTTCTCCTTTCCTAAAACTGCATGAGTAACTGGCTCACTGTGTCCACGTGCTCTGTTTAAGCTGAGCTACCGAGGAAAGGACATGGTCTACTCCTCAAAGCAAAATGAGCCAAATCCAAGTTCAGTCCTTCTGTTTCCCTCACAGCGTCTCCTGCTCCTGGAATTTAAATAACAGGGAAGACCTGGTGTTGTTCAGACGGGGCGGTGATTTACTGCCTCTCTTCGGCGTGCCGAAATCTTCAAGGATAGACAGAAAGCGGGAAAAAAAAGAAAGGAGACGTCTGATTGATTCACTGTGGTTTAAATTGCCAGGGCGCCTACAAGAACGCGCCTGGGGTGGAGCCAAGGACCTGTGGTATCCAATCCAAGCTTGTACTAAAACTTCACTTTGTTTGTTTTCTCTGCCTGTTGAAGCCACTCCTCCGCCAGCCCTGCATAAACAAACAAACTGTCTGAGGCCCCTGTCCAGCACTTCCTAGATGCGCCCCCTTCATTTCACAGAGAAGAGCCTGCTGGTCGTGCATTTCGCACCAGGCCTGGCAGCAGAATCGGGCCCACGTGTGCCAGAGAGTGAACTGTGCAGATATTAAGATAAGATCAGATCACTTTATTGGCCACATACAATTTCTTGCATTAGCAATTTGTCTTTTCACATACCCCAGCTTGCTCTCTATGAGACACACACCCACACAGACAGGTAGAGAAACTTGGGGTCACAGCACAGGGTCAGACATTTATACAGCACCCCTGGAGCAGTTGGGGTTAAGGGCCCTGCTCAGGGGCCCAGCGGAGTAGGATTCCTCTGCTGGCTGCAGGATTTGAACCAGCAACCCGGCCAGCCACAGGCGCAGATCCCTAGCCACAGAGCCGCTGCTCCACCATATACTGTACTGTATGTGGATATGGGCAATATGTAGAAACCATTACATAGTATTTGATTTAGTTTCTCTTTTGTACATAAATGAATGAATAGTCACTGCAAATGTGCAGTCATATCTAGCTCTTCTCTGCACTGTTGGTGCTTTATTTTTCTTTGTCATGATCGGGCTTTCCCATAACATCCAGCGTGCACGTGGAGTATATCCTCATTGCAGGTGTGAAGGAGTATTGTCACTGTATTCATTCGAAGCACAGAAAAAAAAACAGAGAGAACCTTGCAAGCCGAGGCATGCCTTTTTCTTCCCCCTAACGCCCTTTTTTGCCTCCTTAGGAACATTTTGATAGTAACCTGTCTTGTGTCAGAGCCTGATTTTAATTTCAGACAGTCTTGTGTCAGCCAGTCACCACTGAAGCAAAACAAAATAGCGAACCCCTCAAACAAGCAGCAAAACACTGCCTTGGCTACGAGAATCTGTGAAAAGCAGCTGTGAACATCCTGGCCGTAATTTCTGAAGTGTGTGACAAACAGAAATGTGTTTTGGGAGCAAGTGTCAGAAACAGTGGTTTTGAAAATAGTAGAAAGAATGTTGACAAATACAGGATCATGACTGTAGACAATAGCTAATTTCCAGCTCATCAGACCAGATATTTATTTTGGTTTCAATGTTGTTTAACATATGAGAGCGCATCCGACCCCCTCCCCCACACAGAACCATAGTCCATCACGGAGCCTGACCCCCAGCAATGTAAGTCCCATCTTATACAGCTGCAGCAACTCGGGTTTCCTCACTCCAGCTATAACAGCATCGTCTGCAGCAGGAACCCAGCGCCCACAGGGTATGAGTCCAGGACCTTACCCATTGTGCTACGCTGCCCCCCGTACCTCAGCCATACATGAAGAAACAAAGCCCACAGGTTTCTGCAGCAGACTGACATACAGCATGAGCCTATAACGGTGTGCTGAAAAGCCTCGGTGTCTATCACCAAAAGAGCATGTTCCTCATATTTTGCTTTTACAGTTAAAAGCCCAGACTCATAACATTTCAACTGGACGATTATTAACCGGTTATTAAATCTCTGTAACGAAATAAATGAATTCATAGATAAATATCTATAGACAAAATTTACAATGTTGGAATCGAGAACAAAATCATGAACCTAATGAAAGTACTGTAAGCTGACATGTTGTTGCAAACCCCTGGTGTCTCCACGGGTGAGAGCGAGAGATTGTGAGAACTGCGACATGATGAGGCCCTTCCTGCTCAGTAGTCACTGCAATGAGTAATGTGATGCGATATATGAGCAAATTAAGTACAGGTTGTGCTGCAGATAGATATTTCACTGCACAAAGTTTCCAACGTGACCTGCGTCCAGAGTTAACTAGTTCCATTTATCAATCAATTTTAAATCGATGGAACCATCTTGAAGTCGAGAGCAATATTTCTATTGGATTAAAAAAGATGTATCCCCAAGCCTGCTGCTTTACAATGAAATAGAGCCATTCCATTGTACTTTTTTCCCCATTGTACTTTTTTTGGACACTCAATCTGTATATACCTATGCACATTTTGCACATATTTTATTGTCTTTACAGTTACTATGATCATATTTTGCACACACCTACTGTATGTATTTATTTTTATTTATTTTATATTTTATATTTATTTTGTATTACTGTACGTATTCTAATTTTTCATCTATTCTGATGTCTGTTTTTTTGCTTGTTTTGGGCTGGACTGCTGTAACACATCAATTTCCCTTCGGGGTCAATAAAGTCTTATCTATCTATCTAGGGCCGCTCCATATCACCGGGCATTTTCTTGCCTCCTTCTCAATCACAGAACATGGCGCTGAACATAGCTGGGATGTTTTACAGGTTACAGTGTACACACGCAACAGAGCTGATTCTTTCTAACCTCAAAATATAAAAATACCATTGCAGTTCTCCTTTAATAAACCCTTGCATTTCCAGGCAAGATCCTTGCTTTATGGTCTCTCAGATGGGTCTGTGGTATTGCTTGGAGCAGAGGAAACCGGAAAAAAAAACTGGAGAATAGGGGCACAGATGGATAGCAGAGAGCTTCAATGAAGGACCTGCCCTGTAGCAAAATTAATTCCAAGCATCAGCAAAACTTCAAACAAGGCTGGATCTGATAAATGTCTGGTCGCATGCGATCACCATGCTGTAACAGGTAAAATCAGGTTAACTAATGAAATTCTGGCTTTTGTTGAACATGACTCACTAACCTGTGAAGTGTGCGCACATCAGGAGGAATGGATCTTGTCGCCCAAGCCTGTGCTGTACCCTGGGGTTTGGAATTGCAAAGTCTTTCAAGACTGTGATGTCTTCAGTTATAGCTCCTAAAATTCTTAGTTTTGTATAGACTTAAAATGTTTCCTTGTATAAATCAAGTTGCATGACTTCATTGACATTTTACGCTCCTGGACTCCTCCACTCTACTGAATGTGCAAAAGCCTTCCAAAAAAGTAACTGCAAAGAAAGTTACTACCTGCATCATCCTCATCTTCTTTCATTCTGAAAATTCATTTTTATAATGTTAAAGCAGCAAGCTCTGCAAGTAATTGTCAATATATAAAAAAACGGGAATGACAATGAGGAGCTTTATTTTCATAAAATACTGTAAAAATCATAATGCTATTGAAAATAACATGGGGTCTGATGTTCTTACAGAACATCTACTGTATTTACGCTGTGTACTTTGGCCCTTTTATTTTAAATAAAATTACTGAGCAGGAGACAGCAGATATGTCTAGCAAATTCAAAGAGCCTAATTCCTGTCCAGTGTTTGTCTAGTAATTCCAGCTATTAGTAAGTATGAGATGCCAGACAAGTAATTATAGTCTATCGGCTATTCTGTTAACCTGGAACAGATAATACTGTAGAGAACACTTACTCCCGAGATAAACCCCAGGACCTTCAGTTACTTTATCAGTACGAGCAATGATACTTATCTTTCAAAAGCTTTTTTTAACTTTTAATTTATCATAAATATTGGATGCCATTGTTTCTATTACAAATGACACGCAGACTTGTACACAGAGTAAAGTTACCATGTTTACAGTTTTTTATCTGTGTGATATGCTGTTAACCGGAGTTTACTCCATTTTTTTTTAAATTGTAAACATGGCTCCTGGACATTGCATTGTGAATATTTGCTTAATAAATATGTATATTAACATTTAATAGGAAATGTCTGAGTTAATTTAACTTAGCATTTTCAGAATTGTGTTTGAGAGGGGAGCTGCATCAGCGTGTCTTGGATGAAAAGCAAAAAGTAAAGGCTAATTCCCCACTGAAAAATAGACAAGAAAAAAACAATGTTTCAGCTATTGAGCTTTCTTCAGGAATTAACCTGGGTTAACCTTAACTTGTTCATTTTGGGGGGTGGTTCAGTGCTGCAAGGGTTAACATTGCTGCCTCACAGTGCTGGGGCCTTGGGGTGCCGTCTGTGTGGAGTTTGTATGTTCTGCCCATGATCTCCTGGGTTTCCTCCAGGTGCTCTAGTTTTCTCCTACAGTCCAAAGACATGCTGGTAGGTTAGTTGGCTTCCAGGGAAAGTGGCCCTGGTGTGAGTGTGTGTTTGTGTCTGTGTGTGCCCTGTGATGGACTGGCGTCCCATCCAAGGTGTCTCCTGCCTTGTGCCCATTGCTTGCTGAAATAGGCTCCCTGAATTTGATGAAGCCATTAGAAAGTGGATGGATGGATTGTTCATTTTCTTTTAAAGTTCAAAAGTAACTTGAGATTATTCATTGTTGTTGTTTCTTTTTAGGTTCTCTGCTGGGTTGCTAAGGACCACAATTCTTAATACTCTACAGTATTTCTTAAAGAACATAGATAACTGTTTATATCCTGCAAAACGAGTAATCAGATGAGTAGTGAATTGTCTACAGTATGTATTAAAAAATAATAACAAATCATAATCTTTTCAAACTTTAAATTACAAGTTTTTAAATTTGTTTTGTAATGTACTTAGTCAAAGGGAACTCTCATAAATTAAGTTCTCAAGCATGCATGTAACTACATGCAAGTCTGACTGCAGAGGATCGATGGTCTTTGTAATAGTCTAGAGGTTGAATGAATTCAAAAGTGCTTAGAAATGAGATATGGGAAACAGTTTGAGTTTTATCACGGGTGCAGCACGTCCTCTATGACTGCTCATTCCAAACCCTGTTATAGAGTCAGGGAAAGGGTAACAAGAGACACTCTCCCCTGATTCAATCTAATTTTACATCTTTTTTCATTACAAATCTAGGAAATGAGCTTCCAGTCTTGAACAGCTGATATAGTCATAATCATGTCTTGAAAAATATTTTGTTAGACATCAGACATCCCCTTTAGGTTTTTTTTAAGT